GGCGGCTCCAGCCGCTCTCGGGGCCGCGGGCCGGCTCAGCGACTGGCCACCGCGCTCCGACCGTCCCTCTCGTTCCCGGTCGGATCGGCTGCTGCTTAAGAACCGACTCCGGGGTGATGTCACTGTCGCCCCACCCCCACGACCGGGCTGGTCCCCCTCCCCCTCGTCCCGCCCTCCCCGTCACTCCGCCCACCTCCTCCTTCCCTCCTCCCGAGGAGGAGCCGCCTCTCCAGCGGGAAGCAGGATGGCTGCTACCTGGGGCGCCGGCCAGTACGTCCTCCCCAGGGACCGGACCGCGCCTGACCCCAGGTTCACCTGGGCCTGGCTGCCGCCCAGATCGCCCCTCCTAACCTGCCCTTCCTGGTTCTAGGAAAGCCACTTACCTGGATGCCTTCCAGCCATCCTTGGCCCCCCTCTCGTCTTCTCCCCCATCCTTCCAGTCTGGCCCCTCTCTCTGACCCTTCTCTCAACTTCCAGCTAGGGCCCGGGCGGGTGTTGGGTGCCAAGGCCTACAGCTTCCCCGCTCCCTGCACTAGAGGGGCTGCAGGGTGCTTCTGCCTTCTGAGGGACTGTGCTCAGCTGGAGTGGGGCCCTGCCTCCAGGTGTGCTGGGGGGCTTTGCCAGAGGCACCACCCTGCCTCCTCCTGGCATTCAGCGAAGGAACCCTGGAAGCTGGAGGTCAGGGTTCCAGCTCTTGGGGTGACAGGTCTCAATGAGTCTCCTCCATAGGTAGAGACAAGCCTGCCTGGCAAAGCTACACTTTGTCACCAAGGAGGGGTGGTAGGGACCCTTGCTGTCTCCAGTCTCCTGCCAGACATGCCAGAGATTCTGGCACGAATAGGGGAAGGCTGCCCCCTGGTGCCTGTCAGGTGCACAGACCCTCCCCCAAAGGCCTCCGCTGGAAGGCCCCAGCTCCCCACCTGCAGAGCTTCTCTCCCCAGGGACCTTGGGGCCTCCCTAGCAAGGGTGTTCGGCCGCTTCCCCACCAGCCGCTGAGCAGAGCCAAGAGCAGCCATGGGATGGGGAAGGAAGGGGTCACTGTCCTGGTGTAGATGTGAAGTGAGCCGCCCACCCCCGACCAGTCCCAGACTTTGATCACCAGGCTGTGGTCCCCAGATGGCTCATCCCGTTAAGCTAAACCCTCAGCCATCCGGCGGCTTTAGGAAGAAAAGCAATTCTGGCTTGAGCCAGACTGAGCCTGCTGGGTGAGGGAGGGGCAGCACCTCCACCCAGGATTGTTGGAGGGGCCTCCAGGGGCCTCTGTGGGAGACAGGCAGGGTGGCCTGTGCTTAGGTTGAGTGGGGGCACAGGGGGCTTGGGGACCCTCAAGGCGGCAGGGCTGCACTGCTCATCAGAAGACCCTAGCCTGAGTTTTCTCTGGCCCAGTCTCAGAGCGAAGCTGGTCTAGAGACAAAGAAGCCATAGAGAAGTACGTGACCCATAGATGGCCTGGAGGAGTGGGGGCCACCTGGGGAACAAGGACAGAGGGGAACTGCAGGGAACCGCAAGCACCTCTGTGCACATCTGAGAGGAGACTTGTGGCGGGGACAGGGGGGGGGGGTGGGGCGGAAGGGGCGTGGGCATGGGGAGTGCTTGCTGGAGTGAGGGCCGTAGCTGTGATGGGGAGCTTTGGGCAGAGGTCGCACAGCGCCCTGAGGAGCAGGGGGAAGTGAGGACGTGGCTGGGTGCAAGCGACTCTTTTGAGAATTTATGGGCAGGCGGGCGGCACTTTGGGGAAGTGGCTCAGCTGCAGGGAGGGCAGAGCATGAAAGGGGCCGGGCCTCGGGAGCCCGAGAAGGGCCTTCAGGAGTCAAGGGTGGGGACTCTTCTTTCCCCTGGGAGAGGAGGCAGGTTCAAAGGCCAGTGGCAGAACTGTGACGGAGCTGCCACCGGAGGCTACGTTGCCTCTGTGAGGTCAGAGGCTGCTGGGAGGGACGGTGGCTGGGCCAGGGGCTGAGAATGACCCGTGTGAGCTCCAGGACTCCTAGGACCAAGGCCCCCTCCGCTCCAGGGGGGCCCTCACGGGGTGGCTCTAGACACATACAGGCCTCCATATCTGGGGGTGCACCCACTCCAGTCTTCCTCAAGCAGGTCATGATGCCACCCCCATGGCTCCCCTGGATCCCACTAGTGGCTTCCTCCTCTCAGCAGCACACATCTGACCTGTCCCTCCCCATCTGCTCTGCTCTGGGCTTTTCTCTGAGCGAAATTCCTTTCCAAGGTGTGCAGAATTGGGCAACAGCTGGCCTGGGGGCTCCCCCGGCACTGAAGAGCAGTGTGCCTCGTGAGCTGACCTCCCTGTGCCTCGGCCCGTGCGGGGGGGGGTGGGGCGCCGTCTGGGTTGACCTCTCTCTGACCCTGCAGACAGCTCAGCCGCCACCTGTCCCAGGAGGCCAGGGAGGGGGGTGCGAATCCTCACCGGACCCCGCGCTGCCTCCCGCGCCCAGCCAAGGCGAGCTGGGCTTCTGCGGTGCATGAAGTTCACGGACCCAGCCTCGCCTCTGGCCAGGATGAATTGGCAGGAGTTGTCCAAAGTGCGAGC